CTGGGCTGAAATTCTGACAGACCATGGCATTGCTTCTGTAGAGCTTTCAAGCTTCTTGGATATGTGCAGAGATCCCAAATTGCTGGGTTGGAACTTTGGTATTCCAGAACCTCAGTGGGATAATTTTGGCAATACAGTGGAGGAAGCATTCAACAATCCCTTATTTGCCAAATTGCACTATCGCTTCAAGCAGGAGGAAGAGATTGGTCGTGTCATGCACCTTGTGTCAGAACTTGTTTGTGACTTTTTCATCAAGGTGCTTCCCAAGTGGGTTCTTGACCACTCGATCTTGTGGGAAGAGTTTATGATCTTGGATCCAGACACAAATCTCCCAGCCTACAAGACTTCAGAGGCCGCCTTACAAGCAGAAAGGAATCCAGAGAAGTATCATACACATTTTGCTATGAACTTCAAGAAATTCCGTTTTTCTGCAAGGATTGTGTGGTATTTGATTGACCGTGACAGGAATCATTTGGAGAGTTTTCTTCACAACTCCAACAGTAGATTTGTGCAACATGCATGCTATCAACTTCGTGAGTATGTTCAGGCGCGTGTTGCAGTTTCTGATCCCTTGTATGAGATGATCAAGAAGGAAGAGTTTGAACGCCAATACAATTCCAAGTTTTTGGAGGCGATTTCTTGCTCTCGTGTTGTAGTTGAGCCTGTAAGTTCAGGGACGTATGAGCCATCATCGAAGCTGAACTTAAAGGTACTACAAGACATCCTGAAGGGTATCTTCAAGATCCAGAAGGATGAGGAGCTTGCCAAAGAACGTGATGAAGAAGAAGAACAGGCAGCTCAAAACATCTCATACCTGTTGGCAGATGATATGGAGCTTGATTTTGATGATGATGATGTTCCAGTATGGCGCTCCATTGTCGACAAGTATAGAGGAGGTGATCAGGTGCTACAGGGAGAAGCTGTGAAGATTACTCACCTGTTCAGGGATCAAAAGGACAATGAGAAGGCGACAGAAGCTTTCAGTTCAGAGAGGACAGATTTTTATGAGACCTCAGGACCTCTTCCAAGAACCGAGGGAGAAAATCTTGTAGAGGACTTGCTCACCAAGGATGTTGCAGAACAAGCTTTTGAAGCAGGTGAAGAAGTTCCTCCTTATACAAGAGTCTCCACTATCACTGGTGAAGTCTATACTGGAAGTAGAACACTTCTAGAAGATGAGAATATGGAAGAGGAAGTTCCTGAAGAAGATCCTGCAGTTGAACCTGGAAAGGAAGAAGAAATATTTGATGAAGATGCAGGTGTTTTTCCTTCAGAGGAACCAAAGATGGAAGTGGACCAGGAGGAAGCCAAGGAAGAGTCAACACCACACTTTCTGTCAAGAGAGATAGGTGAGGACTCGACTGCGTCGCACTTACCATCAGGTGAGATGGATGCTAACCTTGATGATACTTCAGGTCAGCGGAAATCTAAGAAAAGCCGCCTGAATAAGATTCCTGATCCTCATTTTCATGAAGAAGTTCAGGATGATGCAACCATGGAAGAGAAGAAAGAGGCGGTGGAGAAAATAAAGGAGGTCAGAGAGGATGATGGAGAGAAGAAATTGGAGGCTGAAATCCAAGAATCTTTTCCATCTGAAGTAGTTGTTGAAAAGGATACAACAAAAGTTGACAATACCTATGAGTTGCATACTTCACCTTTGAAGTTGCTTGGAGAGCTTACAGGAGATCCAGGTATTGGCTTTTATCAACTATGCTTCAGGGAAACTCATGCAAGATTGCTGAATCATGTTTGTTTCAGAAAAGGTGAGATTTCCCATCCTCATTATCAGTCGAGGATCAACGAGAATGATTTTGTTCGATCCATTCGTAATATCTGTCCAGTACCTCCACCTGATTGTTATGAACATGAACCAGAGCATGATTTAAAGAGATTCTTTATCAATGATGATCGCATCATTTATTTGGATGGCAAGTATCAGGTCGATCCAAAGGCCCTTGAAAGGGCAGGACATGCTTGAGAAGAATTGGAGGATACGAAGAAGGAACTCAAGAAGGAACTGGAATCATATGGTCCCAAGGGACCCAGTTGGGACTTTGTCACCTTCTATGAAGAGCTGTGCAGAAGGTTCCTCAAAGGAAGAATAGAAGAACCATATGGAACTAACTTATTGGCCAGCTCAGAGTCCTTGACATTTTTATCCTGGAACTATGGCAACATGGTTCGTGGTCAGAAGTACACCACACCAAGGTTTCTCCAAGGACTTGATAGTGCAATGAGGCCACGCAAACAGAGCGCCATGTCACTTCAGAATGAGCAATTTGAGAACAACCTTTTCTTCAACATGCTCTTCTTTTTACGTGCACATGTCGTGATTCTCCAGGAAGCTCATCTTCTTGTTCCTGCCAAGGAATTTATTGAGCAAAAGAATTGGACAGTTTGTTTCAATGATTGGGAGAATCTTGCAGTGATGGCTAGATTGGCACCAGGTGGATATGTCAAGATCATTGCTGGACATGATCAAGAACTTGGTCACTGTGAACAGCGTGATGTAACTTGGGCTATCTACGAGATTTGTTTTGGAGAAACAAGGCCTCGTCAAGATTTCAAGGATGCAGACTTTGAATTTGATGACTATGGTCCTGAGGACAAGCGTGTTCCACTTACTCGAGCGAACATGCATACCATCAGAGTCTGTAATTATCATGTTGATACACACCGTGCTGTGGATGCCCACCTACTGACAGGAGAACAGACAGCATTGATGCTTTACGAGTGTTTTGTCTATGAGGTGGACATCATTTCTGGTGATGCAAATAGTTTGGCCTACAGAATGTCTGGGTACAAAAGGCAGCCAATGGCTAACTACTATTACAGCACCATGCAGCATTGGATCCGCAGGTTTTCAGAAGCCCGTGTAAAAGCAGATCCTGGTATCAAAGCACCTATTCCCAGAACTTTTTACAGTTCAACTTCACAGGTCCTCAAGAAGTGTGAAGATTACTTTGACAAACTCTGGGAAGAATATTCTACTGTTGAAAAAGAAGAATACCAAGGATCACAGCTTGGCGATACATGTTTGTCTACCATTGTTGAATGGGGTCATTCAATGAGTGAAGAGGAATATGAAAATTCCACAGTGAGCACGAAGGAGTTCATCTGTAATTTTTCAGAGAACTTTGCTATGATTGACACAGAGGTTATGTGCTCAAGGCCCACTGACGAGGACAGTCATGGTCCAATGTTTATTTCACTCAGACCAGCTTCCTTTTCATCTGGAGACAGAAGACAGTACCGCATGGGACCAACTCTTCATGAGGCTAACTTGCGGAGGAAGGAGAGACAGAAGCAGAATAGAAAGAAAGGAAGGCCGCCAACTTCTGATCAAGCAACTTCATCGTTTGCAGCGGCATAATTCCTGAGCGAAGGCTGAAATTTAAATGATGGCTAGGAAGTGAAGATACTTCTGGTTACAGTTGATACTTTGCTTCCAGGCTTGACTTTAAATTGCCAGGCTGAAGTTTTAATAAATTCTGGTTTGCAATGAGGAGAAACTTTTTATCAAAGAAGATACTCCTGCATTCCAGGTTTATACGCTTTAGCGTGCAGATAGGTATGGACAGTTTTGTACAACTGATGATATCTATTACAGCCGCTTTTTTCTGAGATGACCTCTAATGGACAACCAGTCATGGTTGATGATTAAGTCATTTCATGATTTGCAATTGTAGTGCAAGATTTTTTTGTACATACATTTGCCGGTATCTCCTTCTTGTGTTTTTGATGTGAATGAGAAAGAGTCTTTTTGATGCAGTTTTATTTTGTCTGTGAATGAAAGCGGTCGAGACCACGTCACGAGAAGATTATTCCTCGGACCGTACGCTCCTTGCATTTTGCAAGGCATCTTAATTCATTGCAGTTTGTGCGGTCTTGAATTTTTAGTTCTTTGTTACGCGAGTGTCGTTTGATTCTTTTATAGGTCTCTGTAGAGAAAAAGCCGCTTTCCCTTTTTAGTTTGATTTAGCTCAGGCCATAAAGAGCTAGTGAGCGCCGGTACATGGTATCTCCGCCTGCGAAAAGTACAGTCTCCAGCCGAGGTACATTATCGTTTTGATTTTGTACTTGAGGTGAGTCAGCTATTGCTCCCTCACTGTATTTAGTAGCTATGAGATTACCTTCTCCAAAGTGTGAAACACACTGGATTAGGTAAGTACATGGCACCGTAGTTTTCTTTTAAGTTGTCAGAGCTAGCTGGACTGTTTTAGCCTTGCAGTAGAAAAAGAGTATGCGACATACGCAATCAGCTAGAAGTGGACATGAATCTTGTGCCTGCTGAAAAGTAGAGCCTACCTGTACAGGGTTCCACTCCAACAGCTGATATAGTGTGTCCATGCTTGACTGCTTCAAGGCTCAAGAGATATAGGATAAGACTCTGCGTGAGTAAAAGACACTAGCGGTCTGCACCTCTACCGTGTACGCCCTAGTCACTCTTTCACCCCTCCCCCCCCCCCCGTGGGCTCAACTCCCCCCTCGGACGCCTCTGGGACACCTCTCGGGCATCTCTTATGGCATCCACTTTGGCTTAACTCCTCCGGGATACGGTGCAACAGATTCAACAAGCTCACATGTTCATGACATCGACATCGATAGAAGAAGCCAAACAAATCATGCAAGCAGCTTTGTTTTGCCTCTGGGACACCTCTTGGGCACCTCTTATGGCATGACTGGCATGACTGGTTCAACTCCTCCGTGGAGGTTTTGGGATACGGTGCAACAGATTCAACAAGCTCACAGGTTCGTGAACACATCGGATGCATCGAACAGTGTGGCAAAGTCCAGCCACGCTTCCTTAATTGTCGGGGACTTCAATTCGAAGGTTGGCTGTGTCATTGCTGTTTGTGTGTCTTACATGTTCACAACGTTTTACCTCATGAGCATTTGCCTCACTCCGCTTGATGTCCCACCAGTCCGGATGCACCCCTGCTAGCTTTCGTCACCTACCCTCGGCCTCAAGTCCTATTGTTCACGAACATGTACGACAGGCCTGGCGCTTGTGGGTTTTGATGAGCGACCCTGTTGGATGCTACAACATTCTCGCAGAGGTTTGCACCTCAGAATGAGACACACACACACAGTATGGCCGCAGATTCTGGACGACGCCAGGTGGTGCAGCGCCATCCAAGTGATCTATTTGCTGCGCCTCGCAAGCAAAACTGCCCATCCCGATATTGAAAGTTACACCCATGTTACACCACTCAAGACCACCGCTCAAGACATCTTAGAGCACACTCTTCATCGATTCTGTGTGCTTTACACAACAGGTAAAGCGTGGGCATATTATGGGGCTCATACTTGGCGATGGACAAAAAATGCTGGATATTGTGGAGCTGCTTGGCAGCATAACGTGCATCATGTCTTGGTGGTTCACGGTTGTACTGAAGCAAGGATAGCTGCAGAGAAGAGTGCATCTTGGCCATGGTCGATTTGGCCTTGATTGCATGATTCGCTCCAACTCTTCTTCGATCTTCCGAACTTGAGCTCGATTCCTTTTGTCTATCAAACTATTTCTTGCAAATCTTGCAAGCTGAGGGGAAGGCTGTTCCTCCCCCCAAGTACTTGCACGGCATGTGGGCGTTCGGTCTTGAGCAGCAAGGCCGCTACCAGGAGCAACTTTGTACTCAGATAATTTTGTGCTGTTCAAAGAATTGCTTTTTAGCAATAGAGATGCCTTGCATATAGAGCCTATTTTTTGCGCAGGATGCCGAAAGGATTGCAAAGGAAGGCTTAGCCTTTGAGTCCAGTTTGGGGCCAGATGCCTGGCTTGACCACGGGATGGCTCATGCTTTGTATTTTCAAGGCCGGAGGAGAGGGACTAGAGACTGGTCAGTTGTTTCTTTTAGCCCGCTGCCCCGCCGCCCCGCCCTCCTGCTTATTATATAGGAAGGCGCCTACCTAAGCACGTAAGGGAGTAAGCTACTAGCTACTAATAGTTAGCTTCTAGTAACTGGACGCAGGATAGCTCAAGCTTTCTTGAAGAAGCGCTCGCACTAATCATTTGGTTCCTAGATTTTTTGAGAAACTGACTCTTTGGTATCAAATAGCTTGTGAGGCGAGGGGAGACTGGCAGATGCGGAAGAATTCTTAAAACAGCGATGCAGCAATTGGTCAAAGGAGGCAGAGCGGAACGAGACTTTAACCTTGACCCCTGCAACTTGTGACTTTCGACTTCATATCTATTGGTACAAGTGGCCTGTTCATGTCGTTTTGGGAGGCACTGCATCCGTTTCTTTACACACACTGCTGGTGGCACCTTGCTCTACTGTGCCTGAGTCAAACAGAGCGGTTCTTCCAGTGCGGCATCTTTTTCTAGAGCACAGTCTCTAGCGTGCTCTAGCATGTTGAGGCACTGTGAGCGGGGCAACTTTGATGACTGCTTGGCGATATTTGATGAATCTTGGCAGCGCCATTGGCGGTTTGGTATTCAACAACTACTCGGCCTTGGAGAGACTCTGGGAAAATTAAGGAGAGACTCTGGCCTGAAGGCTCCACTGGCTTGGAGCAAGGCAAAGATCCGCAGGCGCAGACTGCTCAGCAAACGACGTCCTCTTTCAGAGTCCTTCTGGCAAGGAGATATGACTTCCGGATGATTCCGGCATTTTTTGTATTAAAAGGTGCGGCCTTGGCACCGCATTTAAGCCCTTTTAGTAATGCTCTAACCTAGCTGCTATGGCTGCGGATCCCAAAGCGTGAAACTGGCATTAAGCTTGCAACAGGTTCAGTTGAATGCGTTGAATCTGATGCTTGGATTCCATTCTTAAGTTTTTGGTTGTAGTAGTGCTTGTATATACACACATATATACATACATAATGTATATGCTGTATATATATATATGTAGATTTATGTTGTTTGGCATGGTCAACCAAGAAGCAGCCACATCATGCAAGTTATGGACATGTTCGCGGTTCGCAGTACGTTTAGTTGGGGAACTTCAACTAAAGCAAGTGAGTTAGTAGCGATGGCCTCCAACCTACTTAGTTGCGATGGCCTCCACCTATTAATAGCGTCCTTGCTACTGTGAATCCAAGGCTTTGGCGGCTGGAGCTGAGACAGGAGTGGTGTTCGGAAGAGTTTGTGTGAGATTCAGATTAGTGAAGCACCTGTAGGTTGCAGTCCTTCCACGTTGGCGACGAGTTCTCGAAGGGTGCAAAGGACTTTCGTTGCCGAAAGACGGCGAGAAAGGCCTGATTGCCATGTGCTTTAGACTTTAGAGTTGCTGAGTCAAGCATGACCGTGTGCTTTGGAAGCTTGTGGGAGCAGCACTTGAGGTGCTTTGCAGCACAGTGATTTGCTGCTTGACATCCTTTTGATCCGAGGGCTTTGCATAGATGCGAAGCAGGACAAGTCCATGGCCAAAAATACTATAAAATATGCGGTACACCCATTGTTATCCAGCAGCTAGTTTGACAAACCCTAGACTGCCTTTCCGGTGCTTGGAAAGGACTCTCAACCGTTGGAGTTGTTCCTGACCGCAGCAAAAGCTCATGCGGAGGCACGCATGGCCCATGGCCGAGCAGTGATACGCGCTGACGCTGTGAAGCAGAACCGCAGGAGATGGCGAAAGGAGCGGCTGGTGCAGATGGCAGAGCCGATGCCTATGGAAGCCTGGCGCGTCTTGTTGCAGAAATCTTCAGCAGCACCCTTAGATGAGGCAAACACCATTGCAATTACAATATGATACAATTCCTTTTTGTAAGTCAAGGAAGTCTAGCGTCTAGCTTTCTGCAACATCCGTGTGGAATATTGTGATTGGTTTAAGGACCTGATGTGCAAGATACATCAGAAAATCTAGATCGCCGTGCAAAGGCAGAGAGGGACTGAGTCTGGTTACACACCTATTTTGGTCAGGAACAATGTCATGTGTCCCGTCATGTCCCACAACTTTTAGTTGAGAGGAACAAGTCCGTCAAATAAGACACAACTTTGATACTCGCCCTTCAATGATATCTGCTGTGGCCGTCGAGGCACGCGACGACGTGTGGGCACTGAGACCACATTGGGGTTGCCTTGGAGGAAGTGTAGAGCAACGAGGCATACTGCTTGAGGCCATTGCATGGCGCGGGGAAATGACAATGGTCGACGCTACGCTAGCATGTTACCCAGACAGAGTGAACTTCGTGTACAATGTCCGTCAAAAGAATTGACCTGTCACCAAATGAGGAGTTCGAAGGTCGCTTGTTCGTTTTGTCTTAAAGTAAATAACTATTTTCATGAGATATCATTAGCTGACGCATAAATCAGCAACTTTTAGCAGGCCTACATGTCTTTGCACTGCCAGCCTTGGACCACAACATTACCAAATGAACATTTGAGACCATCATACTCCAAGCAACAAGAGCTGCAGCAATGCAACCACACGCACTCACAGACTAAGTGCAGGATGTTTTTCTTGTCTTTTTTTTGTGTATTTGTTTGTTATTTGTTTATTTATTGATTCTGTGTTCTTTTCAAAGACACTTTTTTGTTTTCTAGAGATGTTCTTTTATTGCTTTTTGGACCTACACATTCGCACACCGAATACTTGCAGCAGGCAGTCAAAGGCCCTGTGGTGTGTGGCGAGCCCAAGTCCTGAGAGGAAGTGCCTCTTTGATTTAAAAGCGCTTTGTACAGGTTCCATTGAGTGAAAAAGTATATACACAACCAGTTACCTGAACTGGTCATGCGCCCCAATTAGTTTCTTAGATCATGCACCTACAAGCTTTTGACAAGTGGCAAAGTCCACAAGTGGGTGCACATTGCCGCATATTGTTGATCGAAGGGATGCTGGCAAAGGCCACTGGTTCGCGAGATTGGCAACTCTGTCAACTCTGCTGGTTTCTTTTGTACAAGGACACTACTAGGGGCTCCTGGCATCGCTACTAGGAACAAGGGCCTTACTACTAGGAGCAAGAAACTATTAAAAACAAGAAGCTACTAGGGTCTCGTACTACCTGCACCCCGGAGTCATCACTCCAGGTTCTGGAGAACATGATGCGCGACTCGCAGCAGTCTGGGCCACAGCAGCCAGAGTGGTCACATCGGCACTTGGCACTTCAAAGCCAATCTGAGGCATAGCAGCCGCGGTTTGCATGTCGTGGCATGACTCAGTTGGGACATGGATTTCAGAGTTTTTGGCTTGACCTTAAAGTTTTGTATAAATTTGTTGTAAAACTACAAGTAGCTTGATCCGACGGCAGCGCGGGAATAAGGTCTCTCTTGCGGAAACCAAGCTGTTGAAGCTTGGCAGAGGCAAGTTTGTATTGTTTAGCTGCGATCGTTTTACTTGCCAAGCCGAGCAAAACACTTTTACTCTTGCTTTTTGCATGCTTTGCGAAGCAGCTTGAGCGTGGTTCAGGCCATGAAAGCAATGTGCGCATTGCCGATGTGTCCAGAACTAAATTGGACAAAGTGAATTGCCGCGGGCCGCCATAAGTGTTCTTTTCAAGAGAATGTGTTACTAGTAGCCTCTTGTTCCTAGTAGGAATGGCCTCCAACCTAATAGCGATGGCCTCCACCTAGTAGCTTCTTGTTCCTAGTAGAATGAAAGATGCCCAAGTGGGATGGGTGTACCTTGATCGTTGTTGGATGTAAGGTCAATCTCTCGTTGTCACGCCACAATTCGCTATCAAAAGGGTGCAGATGCTCAGATACTCCAATTCAAGTTGCTTCTTTGTGAGGACCACCTCAAAATAGTTCGTTGATTCTGAGGCAGCTTCGTCCTTGAAGATCACAACTCTAAATTCGGCGGGACACCCAAAGTGATGGTTGTGGACATTCTTCAGAGCACTTTTGTCCAACAAGCATTACCAGAAATTTGGCATGTGGGTGTGTTTTTAAGCACTTTTCTATTCAGGTACTCTTGTTGCCATGAAGAAGCCCCGCCCCCTTGACCATGGCAGTGCAGTTTCAATTCAAGTTGGGCGCTTGCCTTAGGAAGACCAAGACACCAGCCGCAGCCACACTATATTTGATTTATGGGACATCGCAGTGAACTCTCTGGATAATGGAGACACACAATTCCGACCACACTGTAGTTCGTACATATTCACTTCTTGCTTGAATAAGCCGCAAAGTGCTGCTTGCACACATAAGTCATCAAAAGAGAAATGCATGATATTAATATATTGTACTGTATATACCTTAATTTCAGCTGGTGCATTGTGAGCTTGGGATAAATTTTGGTGTTGCTTTCCATGAATGGCGTCATTGTAGGCTTTGTGAAACTTAGGCGCACGGTGTTGTCTCTTTCGCTGCAGTCGGAGCCAGCTGGACCTGTCCACACCTAAACAAGAAAGTCTGGGAGTTTCTCATGACCGGATTATGCCTATTTGTGAACTCAAAGGTCAACAGTCCGGTGACCACTGATGGAGAGATTCCAATGTTGGCTCCTTGTGGATCCGGAGAACAGACAATTGTATAGTTTGCAGCTTGTTGTGCAAAATACAGATCATTCTGGGAATGCCTCTCAGGCAGCAGCTATAAAGTCAACATCGAAGGCTCTTCATGCTCGCTGTTTTGGCCTTGGGGCTGTTGTTCGCAAAGGTGAATTGGAGCAGCTTCATGTGAATTTGTGGTGTACTAAGGTTTCAGCAGTGCACAACTAGCACTACTCGTATCAGCGCTCTTAGAATGTTCTGAACTCATCAACTACAAGTGAAGCTGATTGTTAGGACGGGAAGATTGCACAGCAAGCTTAGCATGGACTGGGGCCTGGGCTATATGTATACAGCATATCAAAAGAAGAAAAGAGCGATGACACAGGCAGATAAGGCCTTCTTTCCATTTTTCATTTCTTTTACCAGAATTCCACGTACACCACTGTACCACTCTGAATGGCCAAGGTGTCAGGTTTCTCACCTGAGCGGACTGGCAATGCCAGAGAGTTCAAATCATGAACATCCAAGCTGAGATATCGATGCTACTAGAGCATCGTTCGTCGTAAATTTGAACACGTTCCAACCTAATTGACACGTGTATCCATGTGCACCATTTTGTAGGAACCTGTGCAGAATCAGGTGTTTCCAGACTCATCAACCCAGTTGTGGATGTTCCCTAGCCAAGGGCAGTTTGCTGAGTTTGCACTTCAAGTGCAAGGGACGACGTTGGGATTCTTGTGGAGATATTCTCAGAGGCTTCAGCACGTAAAGCTGTTTCAATCAGGATCCTATCAGTCACGTTATAGTTCTTTTTCAATTCGAGATTGAGCTTGACTTGTTTCTTTTCAATTTTGGTCGAGAGGTTCACCCTCTTCGAATCAATACATTTATATACATTTATATAGTTGAAGAAGTATGCACATTTTCAATTGGGGTGCCAGAAAGGAGAAGAGGCAGATACCCCTTGGGCCTCTTTGTGCAGCTCACCAAACACTGGGCTCAGACTTCCCTTTCCTTCTCCTCCTCCAGTTCGTCCTCACTGTGGGCACAGCAGAAGCTGGGCACACACACAGACCTGAACACAAAAGCGCGCTCCAGCTCGGTCAGGGTGCACACAGACCCGAACACATGCCATTCCAGATAGAATTCCCGAATACATGCGAGAAAGAATGCCAGAGAATATGGCAAAAATAATGTCAGGAAGAATGTCAGAGTAGATGCTGGAAGCAATGTCGGAACACAAGCCAGAGAGAATGCCAGGAAGGATGTCAGAATCGATGCCATGTCAGAATAGATGTCAGCTAGCGTGCCAGAAGAATGTCAGATAGAATGTCGCAAAGTTGCCATGTAGAATGCTAAATCATATGGCAGAAACCATGTCAGAACATGTGTCGGAACAAGTGGCAGGTATGATGGCGGAACAATTACCGGAATACATGTCAGAGCACATATCAGAACCGAAGTCGGACCATAGGTTGCAACACATGCCAGAGCACATGCCAGTTTCGTGCTAGAACAAATGTCAGAAATACATGCCAGAAGATATGTCAGAACACATGCCCACAAGGACGTCAGCACACATTCCGGAAAAAGACTACATCGTCAGAGTAGATGCCAGATAGTGAGATGGAATGCCAGCAAGAATGTCAGAATAGATGCCAGGTAGAAAACCAGACAGGATGTTGGAATAGGAGCCACATAGAACGCCAGAAGAATGTCAGACTGAAAGAATACTGGAAAATCGCCATGCCAAACGATATGCTAGCAACCACGTCAGAATCTGTCAGAACACATGTCATGCTTCACAAAAAACAAATGCTGGAACATTTCCCAGCCTTTTACGCGATGATGTGTCAGAAAACATACCAAATTTGATGCCAAAACAAGTGGCAGAACATTGTGTCAACACACATGTCAGGTAGGGTTTGTCAAGATAGTTTGTCAATACATGTGCCTTGCCTTCTTCCAAATCGCCTCTCCGGGTGGGGATCACTCGACGCAAAGCAATTCATTATTTGTCCTTGCTGACGAAGTAGTTGGTCAAGTGTTTCATCGTTCACAGTCCGTGGGCATGTACAGTGATACAAAAAACATGTAACGAGGTGTTTTTCTCACGACCTACAAACATGAGATGTCCTCTGACAACAGGTGCTTGTCGCGCAGCCCGCACCAAAGGGGCAGGCTATGCGACAGCATTTGCTCAGATGTCGTCCGGAGGACATAGATCCCTCTATCTCCTTGCAGTTCCTTGCGCACCGCAGACCACCTTCCCGCTAAGGCATCTGTGTATGATGCCAATTTTCAATTGAGCCGCGACCAAAACCTCTGATGGCTGGTTGGTAGGGATTGTAAGATCCCCCAATAGTAATATGCCTCATATTCATTCCGTATCATTACATCGAGGGGTTTTCCACCTTGTTTTGGCCGCAGCTCAGCTTGGTCCACCAAAATTGAAGCAGATAGAATCAGATAGATGATCTGTTGTATAATCTACTCATTTCGGGCACAACCAAGTACAATGTGCCCTGTGGTTTTGTGTGTTGGGGTGGTCGGTGGTCTTCACCAAAGGACGACCTTTAATCGCCTGGACCACGAAAGTTAGCTGTGCGAAAAGGTCTACCACGACCTTTAGATTTGGCAACAGATGCATGTTTCACTGATTTGGAACAAGTTCTTGCTGCAGCCCTATTTTGGATGATTTGGCCTGTGGCTTCAGCTTTCAAGCACTCTCTGAACCTAAGAGGGTTTCATTGACGTTTGAAGAACCTCATAAAAGCCAATCAGGCCTTTTTGTTGTCACAAAAAGAATGCCTTACACTCAAGCCGCTGCAGCTACCATTGTTTCACCGGAACGGACAAGGAACTTGGGTGGCCACTCACTCTATAGCGGCTAGCGCTTTAGCGCTTTAGCGCTTTAGCATTCAACTTTGGCTTTTGTTGACAAGCGATTCACATGGCATCTTAGAGGCTCCATTCACAAGCACTTGTTTCCCGACTTGAGACTCCAGAGCGATTGTGATGTCGTCTCTACACAAAAGCTGGCATGAATTGGCCATTGTGAGGCCAGCGGCATGGCCAAAGCAGCTCTCAAGGTCCATGCTTTGAGAATGGAAGCTAGAACCGAACACTGAAGGATGTTGTGCAGCATCACCCACCTGTCAATCACACAAAAAACATTGTTGCTCAGTTCCTCAATAGTACTGTATATACGTGGTTTGTTGCCGAACGAGAACTACTCATCACTTCCTTCTGCTGTAAAGGTCTTGGTCCGTCTCTTGCCGCCTGAGATCACTGAGGATGAGCTGGTTGCCAAAGCCCCAATGATACCACTCCCAAAAACATTACGAACAAAACCAGTACACAACTGCACTCAGCAGCATAGAAATACGGATCAAACCGGCTAACGCGCATTGCTGGGATACATGATATACACTCGATACTTCATGATTTTCTGTTTGTTTGATAGAATTCTGTACCTCATGTTGTGGTTGATTCGCTGCTGCTGCTGTCAGCAGAGCTGCTTTGATTGCATGCGTTGCCAAGGCATCGGTCTCTGAATTGCACTTGCAGCACACAACGTGGCGGAGCTTCCAGGCGGCTGTTTTTTTCCTTTGCTGCTGATAGCGTGTTGGGTTAAGCCCAGCCAAGGCTGGGAAGCGCTACAAAGGCGAAGCCAAGCCCTCAATCAATGCCCGCACGGAGTCCTAAGCTTCAACCGAAGTTGCAACGGAGAACGAGGAACCAGAGAAAATCGCTACAGGATTTCATTTTTAGGCTAGTAACAAGTGCCTTACTAGTAGTAACAAGAAGCCATTAGAAACAAGTGCCTTACTACTAGGAGCAAGAAGCTACTAGGGGCTCCTGGCCTTGCTAGTAGTAACAATGTTCGCTACTAGGAACAAGTGCCACGCTAGTAGTAACAGGTGCCTTACTAGTAGTAGCAAGAACGCCACTAGGAACAAGTGCCTTACTGCCCGCGGGGGTAGGCCGCGATAGCTAGAGGGAGCTTACTTAAGCTACTACGAACTGGACGCAGGATAGTTCGCGCTAATGATTTGGTTCCTAGATTTTTAGGGAAACTGAACTTTGCAAATTCGTTGCCCTAATGGACATCCCTCCAGATGATTTCTCATTTTGAACCAATTGGTTGTGAAGAATTCATCATGTACTTGACAAGAGTGCATGTGGGATGAGAAGAGATGATAGAAAGTGAAGGCTGTTGCGTTATGAGGTTGCTACTTTCTTTTCGACAGTGAAGAAAATGCGGAAAAGTTCATCAAGGACCGTTCACTACTGACCGCAAATGTGACGCAAATGTGAAGCAGTGATGGTTCTCTGAGTTGCATGAAAGTGAGAGATTTGGAGGACTATCATGGTCACCAGTTCGTAGATGGCCAGGGAGAAAGCTTCCGGGCCGTGGCCTGCTTTGCACCATATGCCAAAGTCGTTGACTCAGATGTCAAATCTTTTGGCAATTGGAGATTTTGCTTGCTTGCAAAGACGGTGAGTTTCAGTTCATGCTAAGTCCCTGACACCAGGTACCTCGCCAAAAAGCAAGCAAGGACATAGCTGTGATGCTGACTGTACTCTTAGCCTATTAGCCAACTCCTCTCACCGCTCTGAGAACAGGATGCGCGTGATGGCACAATTTTCGAGGATGCCACTTACAAAGAGCCTGCTTGCTCAATACCGCTCGGTCCATGACTTCCCCCACAGCTTTTCTTTGATTCCTTAGGTTTGTGGAGAACTTGTCAGCTCCCAAGACCTTTGAGGCCACAGTGACTCGCGCTTGCACCATGCACATGGACATGGATGATATTGGCATATATTGGCATATATTGGTGCGAGCTCATTTCTGAAGCAGAGGCACCTCCAGACCCAGTTGCGACAATCCAGCCTGCAACTGCAAAGGAGCTAAAGTGGACCTGCATGTGCAAAGGGCCTCGCTACTAGGAGCAAGGACGCTACTAGGTACTAGTAGCAAGAGGACGCTACTAGTAAGAAGTGCATTCGCTTCTAGTAACAAGTGCCTTACTACTAGTAGCAAGAACGCTACTAGGAGCTCTTTTTGAGAACCGCCTCCCCTCACAGGACACGCCGCTTCTGAACTACATGAAGACAAGGTGTCGCATGGCATGGTGTTGCGGTGTTTGCAAAGACAGAACACCATGAAAATCGGTTCAAGGAGATTCAAGGAGTGTAGCTTGCATTTGTCAGGGCAGCTGAAAGAAGAGCTCGCCAAGAGAAACGCAGCTCGCCCAAAAGAGAAGCGGCAGGTCCAAACTGTATGGGGTATCGGTATGAGACAGCGCTGTGCCAACACTGCCCTGGGATCCTGAACAAACTTGGCAGATCGGGATCCTGAACAAACTTGGCAAATCCTAGGCGAGAGAGAGCGAAAGAGATGGCGTTTCAAGCTCAGCATGAAGGATGAGAAGTGCGCATGAGAAACAGAACTAGATTGAACGCTTCATGAAAGCTGCAGATGACCGCCTCGGCCGCATTGACGAGAAACCCAAGTGGCGTTGTGCAGAGCCGTTGCCACAGCTTGGCAAGCCAGCAAATCAGCACATTCAAAGGTAGTTTGGTTTGGCAAGGAGCCGGTGAAAGACGCCTGAGGTGTGGTACTTCCAAGCATTTAGAGGAAGATCCTGACCAACGAGGAGAGGAATGATACTGGGTATTAGGGCAAGATTTATTTATGCAGTTCGGGCCGCGAGGTATTTTTGGCACAAATGCGTGATTCGGTTACGATGCGACCCTCCAGGTGTTTGCTACTGCACCTATTGCTGGGAGACTTGGGAAGCAAAGGAGATTCGCTGCACAATGCCATCCGCAGCATGAGTTTGTTTTATTTCTCAAATTTGCTTTGAAGAGGAGTACAAAAAGAAAAAGAAAAAGTCCAAGGCTGCAGCTGAGGAATGCTTCGTGCTTGTGCAATCAGACATTCATAGGTCAGAGGTAAATAGTTACAATTATTTGATATATGATAATAGCATGATTTGTGCTATTACCTTGTGTTACAGCAGTGTCCAAGCTGGCTGTCCTGCTTTTGGCATGTGACTGTGAACATAACGTAGGCAGCAAACACAAATCTTGCAGTGCAGGATTATGATTATGAGGAAGATTGGTATGAAGAGGAGTTCTTGTTTCGTATTTGACTCGTGATTGTTTGTCAGTGGAAGAGCAAGAGCAGACTGCAGCAAATTCTGAGTCTTGAAGGAGCCAACAAAAAAAAAAGAAAAAGAAGAAAGGTTATGATGATTGGCAATCCAGGAGCTTCACGTTGAACCTTTCCATGTCACGGCAGAATTATATATATAGTGCATGGTGAGTGCGATGTTGTTGGATATTCTTATCAGCCTTTCCCTGAAGTAGCTGGTATGCAGAAAGTGGAGATGCTCGGCCCATTATTATATTGTTGCTGCAAGACTGAGATTCCAGAATCCACATTTGATGCGATTCTCCAATACTATCCGCATTCGAACTAACTGTTCTGCCACAATTGATTTGGTCAGAGTTTTAGTTTTATCCAACCGTCCAGGCGCTCCACAGATTTGCAGGTGTCGTGGCGGGTGGCTCACCAACTTGTGACACTGACGTGCAGGTCGCGCATGCAACATCCTGAAGGCTCCAACATTGCATGTTTTTGCAAGGTTCCATACTACTTTGGTTGGGACCCAACCCCTGCGTTTTGGGACCACTCAGGTAGGTTTCAGAACGTTTTGCTTCGCAAGGAGCACATTATCATGAGATGGACCAAGCGGCATAATATCAACACAGACTTTAACCCAAAACTACGAAAATAGGTACTAAAGTACTTATGAAACTTCGAAAGCTTCTCGTTCTTTTCGTTTGCCAGAAAAGCGCTGTTTCCCTCAAAGCTGGACTGCTGCCAAGGACTGGGAGGAAGGCTGGTACGAAGAGACCGTCGAGGCATGGAGCTACCTTCGTTTGTGACCGCCACCACTTTCTTGTTTTTCCCTTGCATCAGGAGCCCAAAAAGAAGAAAAAGAAGAAAAAGAAGGCTTTTTGGGCGGCAGCTGCTTGGGGGGTTCATTTTTGCTTGTTGTCAGGGGCAAGACGAGGAGGATGAGTACGGAGCTTGTCACTGGCGTGAAGAGGCCACCCAAGTGCATTTGTAGATTTTGCAAACGAAGCAGCAAATCATAGAAACCTTTGTGATGCTCATGCCTCAGGACTACTGGGAAGAGGGCAAGCAAGAGTCGCATGGAGGACACTCTAAGTCAAGAAGGTGAGGGATTGATAGGGAGCTTTCTTGCTGCATTGAAATTTGTTTGCACCAAATTGGTCACATGTGGAGGTCCAAAGCCAAGCAGAGTGAAGAGCAATGGTGGGAAGAGCCGGGAGTCACGTTGTGAACAGCTGGTTGCACGAGTTCTTTGAACCACAAGTGAACTGAGCGTAGAATGAAATGCTAGCTAGACTCAGTTCTTCTTGCAAGCTAATGGTTGGATGTTTCCCTGATGGTTTCAGGGTTATTAGTCTGAAACTTGTGACACGTGCATTAAAGTGACGGTGAGGAAGTTATGCCGTATGCCTATTGCTCGGGCACATTTAATAATCTACCATGTTCACAATACCAAGTATGTGGCACATGTCAGTAGGCAAGCTAAGGCCTGAAGCTAGCCATAGCCAATCGAAGCGGAGGTGTGGGCATTATTTCAATGGTTATGACGTCTTTCCAGAGTCCCGTCGCGGAAGTCCTGGTCAATGAGATCTTGGCAAGCAGCTGCCGATTGCCTGATGCATCCATTCTTACCTTGCTGTGAAACTGACAACTGCGTAGGTCTGAGGGAAGGTGGCGTGCCAAAGAAGCAGATGCACCGAAGGAAGAGCTTTGTTACATGTTACAAGTCTTCATTAGTCTTTGAATTCCATTTCACTTTACTAACTCCGCAAACTGCGTTGTGCCAGGAGCAGGAAAGACCTCGCAGGAGCAGGAGAGGGGGGTTCTTTCAACCTCCCGCTTCCAAGTTCTAGATGACTTGTTGCACTTGATGCACTTAGTACATCTTAGTATATACTAATTTCTGACCTCTCCAGGCGGGAAAAAGACTCTGAAGGGTCTCAATGGGTTCCAAAGCTGCCGCCTTGATTACTTGCTTCATGTAAGTAGAGAATCCGAAGCGCAGAAGCCTGGCTTGCAGCATGTTCAGCGATTGCCGCTGGCCGCTGCACTCCAAACTTTCCAGCTCTTGAGGCTTCAGAAGCATTGAGCTCTCAGCATGGAAGTCTCCACATGGAGGACCCGGTTTAGCCAGTGCTTTCAGAACTTTGGCCAGTGTGAAGCTTTTCCTGCGTGCAGGTGCCCACCAGAGTGACGGCCAAGAAGGCTCCTCGTTGGGTGGACAACCTAGAGCGCCTAGCTTCCTTGATTGCCCAATTGTGTCCATGCACTCCAGCCACAGCCGCAATGCATGATGCTTTTCTGTGCACTATTTGGGTGAGACTCAAAGCATAACGCTTTGAAGTCACTTTGGGGCCGCTCGTCTTGACAGGTCTGTGGGAAGCTGTAGGAGTGGAGTATCGATGAAGTAGGCAAATCAAGACCGACAAAACAAAAGACACTTGATATCAAAAAGATATATTCAAGACTCAAGACTAACCGACGCCGTTCCACCACATCAATGCTCTGGTGCCTCTGCTTCGTGGAATGTCAAGGCCAGTTAGAACGCCTTTTGCATTCTGCTCCAGAGAAAGTATTGAGAGTGCTATGAATTCATGCATCAAACTGTGATTTGCTTGGCTTTGTCATGTTCACCCAGCAGATTGAAGTACAGAGCAGCACCAGCAATCTACGAGTGATTTGAGTTGCCACTCTTCGTGTGAGCGGGCAGCCATGTACCAGAACAATGGAAGGTTGAGGTTGTGCAGGTATTGGCATCATGCATTTTGTGCAAAGAAGACGCACACAGACATGTGACATGCCGACATGAATATATACAAGGGTTGAGTATGCAGCAAGGCTATCAAGAGATCTGGCAGAAGTATGTAGAAGTTATTTTTGACATGCTTGATATGATAAAACTAATCTTCAGCTACAGCTACCCCAGTACTAACTTCCATTGCCTTCACTACGCTTCTTCCGTGTTGCGGCGCTTCTCCCCATGTCGATTGAGATCGATTGAGACACGGCCTTCTTTTCCGTGCAACACTTAATGTCCCCAGGCTTAGGAAGCAAGAGAGAGCATCCTCTTCCATGTGCCTCATTTTGTGCACCTTAGCAGTTTTGCCAGTGCCAGCATACGTAGCGAATTGCAATGATTTGCTTATGTGCATACTGCCAAACTAGTAGGTGTTAGTTAGTTTGATCCAGGAATAATCATGGCGGATGAAGATTTGTCTGAGAAGGACATAATGCCATCTCTTCAATCTTGTATATACAGTAGATAGTGCTTTTAAGTGTGCATCACTTCTCACTTGGTGAGAGATTTCCCTCCAGGAGAAGCAGCTGCGAGATTGCTTCGCAAAGTTTGATCTCAATGGTGACGGAAAGATACAGGCACCAAGCTTGTTCGAAAAGCGTATGATCGAAATGTGCTAGTGACTTCCGAAGACTCTTCAAGACATCAAGACCAGATCCATGGCCAATGTGCAGGAAAGTGAGTTCAAAAAGTTGATGAAGAGCCTGGATGGTGGCTTCACTCCAAAGGACGGCTGAAAGCACCTGAAAACCATTGAACATCTGCAGGGACCGGAACACATACGAGCAGGACCAGGGGTCAATGTGAGCAGCCATGCTTCGACAGGAGATCAAACGGCTTTTCAAGGAAGCGGATACCGATGGGTCGAATAGTTTGGAGCTTGGGCAGCTTGGGGATTTTCAGTCTTGCCGCCTAACAAGAAGCTAGTAGTAACAAGTGCATCGCTAGTAGAAACAAGTGCATCGCTACTAGTAACAAGAAGCTATTAGAATTAAAATTAGTAGCTTCTTGTTTTGGAGCTTGGGCAGCTTGGGGATTTTCAGTGCCGCCAACATTTGTTCCCATGACCCGCATGTTCCGGTTGCAAGCATACTGCAAATCCATGCAATTCCTGTACAGACGCTGTATGATGATGTTGTTGCTGGCGTTCACATCACTTCTCGTAGGTTCCTTTAAATCGTTTGTTATCCAGGTGTGGACTGGCGAGAGTTTCTCTCCTGGATCATAAATGGCACAGCCATGCGAGGCCACGTTGTGCTGAGGCTTTTCAACACCACACATTGAGGATCAAACATGAAGAAGGATAAGAGAATGGATGAATTTCGAGAAATGTTGGTTTGATTTTCTAGGAATGGGAGCCAAAGGCGCTGCCTCCTTTGAACGGTTTCAAACTGAGACAGCTCACAGATTGTGGCATTGCTTCAGACTGGTTCAAACTGATTTCGAGGTTGTTGAACACGGAGACCCAGGATGAAGCCAGCTTTGTGGAATCGGCATAGGACTAAGAATTGAATAGTGAGGAGTGGCATCGGAGCGGCTGGACAGTTTCCAGGTTTAGGTTAAGTATCCCTAAGAATCTAGGAACAAAATGAATAGTGCGAGCGCAATTCTGCCTCCATGCTACTAGCCGCTTAGCTACTAGCTACCTAGCTTCTACTAGCTACCTAGCTAGCTACTACTTACCTCTAGCGGCCTACCCCCCAAAACACAGCTGAACAATCGAGGCTCAGATGGGCCACAACGTCACCGAGTACCTCAAGAGAAACGGTTCTAAGGGGAAGTCAAGAACGAGAAAGAAGACAACGACAAAGGCAGCAGAGATTGCCACCTCAGTTTGTGTTTTTCTCGTGTCTATTAAATAGACAACATATCATAACACCTTGCAAATTGTGTTTGCGAGGCTGGCTGTGATGAATTTGGTGTTCCGGCAGATTATTCTGGCTACCGGCAGGAATCTGAGGAAATCCATGAAAGACATGCAGTATCAGCGATTTAGGGATACTGTACTGAACTATTCAGTCAATGTATGCACACATGCATGCACACATATGCACACGTATACAACATTATACAACATAATTTAATACAACTAAATTAGTTGGTGGATGGCATGAGATCTCGTGCAGCTGTTCTATTCCTCATGTTCGGGGTGACCTGAGCGCTGTCCAGCACATGATTTTGAACAGCGACATCCTGAGGATTCAGTGGCCCATGACCCCGCAGGGTGCCAAAGATCTATTGGGTTCGGCCCTCAGTGGTTTTATGTTGTTTGTGTGGTTGATTGGCAACGCCTTTAGTCTATCTCAGACTCGAGAAACATCAAGCATTTGCTCAGACAACTTCCTCCACAATGGCTCCAACAAGCCGCTCCATGCAAAGCATGCCCCCCAGACTGCCAAGCCCGTGCAGGTGCTGTGCGTCTTTAGTTTGTCAAATTTGCGAAGTATTCGCCACACCTTCATTCTCAAAGTGCAAGGCATGTCCAGCTCATTCTCGATGAATTTGTGGCGGCCTACAAAGACAGGCACCCCAAGCCAGTCATTGAGACGGAGGTCCCGCAACCAGATGGAAGGCACTGGGGACTCTTTGCAGCTTACACTGTCTTTATGCGTTCCTTGACAACATTGTTGGACATTGCCACTGTCAGACTCGTGATTGTTGGCGACACTCACGGACAGCTTGCTGATGTGCGCATATTGTTTTATCGATGCAAGACGCTCGAGCGACAAAGGCGAGCGTACTTCACATTTGAGGTACTTCACATTTTGTACCACCTCGGACCTCCAAGCGCAAACAACAGGCGAGACGAAAGTCTTTGAGAATTAGTACTCTTTCCACATTCCACGTCGCTACGGTGTGAGTGTTGTGGAGGTATCTCTTCAACGGAGACATGGTTGACCGTGGGAATCAGGCCAGTAAAAGTCGGAGTTTGGATTCTGCTAGGGGCTCCTGGCCTTACTACTAGTAACAAGAAGCTACTAGGGACTCCTTGGCATCGCTACTAGGAGCAAGGACGCTACTAGGGGCTCCTGGCCTTACTACTAGGGAATGAGCTGACTGGCGCCAGGGAGTGGAAATCTTGCTCATTCTGTTTTCATTCTTCCTTGCAGACAATGAGCCTGGCCCAAAGAGAAATAACTTTGAGAAATACTGTCACTTGTGCTTTGAGAAGACATACTGTCTCTTTTAGGTCAATCATTGTGCACCGTGGAAATCATGAAAATGAGGAAGATTGTCAATCTTGTTTTTTGCTTTCCATTCGATAAACAGGAATGCTCTGACCCCGAGACCGTGCAGCGCAGGACATGAATGCACTCCATGCTGATAACGGTGGTGGGTTCGAAGATGAGGCTTTGGTTTCAGTACAATGAAGTACAATGTACAAGATGTACAATGGACAATTCATTTGTTCATTTGATTTTGCACCAGATATAGCCTGGCTAGGTGATGGAAAAGTATGGCCTGCAAGTGCACGGACCTCGAGAGAGAGAGAGAGTCACAAGTGTGAGACATCGAGAGCGGAATCCAACTGATCAAGGTATCGACACTTCATTGGTGCTTTCAAAACTTTGTCGTTGGCCTCTGTGATCAATAAGGACGGTGGACAGTGTTCACTTTGTCGCACGGTATATTATATATATACACATATGCGGTAATTACTGTATATATAAACTCCGATTGTTTGCTGTTCGCATGGATTATTTTTCAGGAGATTTTTGTTGTTCACGGAGGCTTGACCAGAGTCTGGATCTTGGTACTGAGTTGGGTGTTGACAGAGCCAAGGTGTTGTGAATTTTATCTATTCCCAACCTGATGCCGTGAGGTCAAAAACCTCACCATTGACTATATCAACACTTTGCCTTTCCAGGTCACACTGGGTCACCTGGAAGATGTTTCTTGCACACAGCATTTTTTTTTAAAACTATATTTTACATTGCTTTATGTTGCTTCCACTTTTGCAAGTTTTGTGACCATTTGCAGGACTATACTGCCCCACACCCACTGTCTACCAATGTCAAGGATTTCCGGCCTGTGGAATAGTTCACAATGACATGGCCTGACTCAACTCCCTGTCAAGGAGCAGCTTTTCTCAGACTTGCTTTGGAGCGATCCCACTGAGTATGAGGGCAAGTACAAGCGCAGCCGTCAAGCTTAACAAGCACAGAACCATTTCGCTCCACAAAGATTGTGGTTGCATTTTGTGGTAGGGACACCAACTTTGCCGCAGCATTGTCCTTTTTTCTACGTCCGAGACCGCCGCTGCCGTCAACATGCGTTCATGTCATCTCAGGGTCATTTGATGTCATTGCCAATAGCTGATGTTTGGAAAACCGTTTGGAATATGTTGAAGACTGTTGAAGCATATTGAAGCAGGCAAAGTGCTTGAGAATGCTTCGGAGTTGACCGGATCTGTCAAAGCCATGCAATTCTGGCCATGGCAAAGCTGACTTCACTTGTGCCGCAATCTCGTGGAGGCCAGAAAATGTGACTTAGGTTGGTTGGTCCTGACATGTCTCAGGTGTGATTCTATGCCCAGGCCAAGTGGAGCCCTTTCATGAACGCCGGGTTAGCTGTGCTGGCTCCCGACCTGTACCTGATCCTGTACCAGGTTGGTGGGCAGAGAAGTCACCCTACAAACCTGCAAGGAAGAACACAGAGAGTGTGCTGTTTTGAACTGATCTACCCCATGAAAACACGAGAAGGCATAGGAAAGCAAGAAGGCTTGATTCTTTGAAGTCGCTTCGTTTCTGTTTGCGTTGGTCCATCTCTCTCGCTTGGAGGTGTGGCTCGCCGCCTCGTGGCACTCTCGTCAGTCTTTGTGCAACGTTGGCTTCGTGCGAGACGTTCCAGACGCAGATTGACATGCAGATCGAGGCTGGAAGGATGCTTTTCAATACCAAAACTCTTATAGTTTTCAAAACAATACCTTTAAAATCAAGGACTCAGGCTTTGGACACTCAGCATCTCTCAGCTATGAGGCTATGACAAAATCATCGTTACTTCTCACTAGTATCCTTCAACAGACCTTAGCTCTGAGGTCCGGGATGATGCACATAATGTGGGCTCGATGTTTCATGGTCCAACTTCTGCTCGTTTCATCTCGTCGTTTGGCAAGGCAGGTGGCTTACGACGTTGACGATCCCGAGCAGGCTGGTCACGATGGCTGGTGACCAAGGGACGCCATGGAGCAGGGTGGCCGATGCGAGCCTGCCAGGAGCTACAGAGACTCCGATTTCGAGGGGTGAGCTTGCTCTTTGGAGTTAACTTCCCAGTGAAGTCAACGATCTAAGCAAGTATGTTTAGACATTCTGATCTCATGAGAAAGCTGCAAGCAAATTTTCTTCATGAAAGTATGACGTTTTTGCCAATAATTGTGAGGTCCCTGCTTTTCAGCGCCTGCAAAATGCGCGAGTTGCTGTTCTTGGCGCGGAGCTCGCTTGTTTGTCGAAGTTGGTTGTAGTTGTACCGCTTTCCTGTACCTTGACCAGAGTGGCCAAGGGATTGGTGGAGTTGGATCCTGGGTGGTGGAAAGCCTTGCGAGAAGTGGGATAGGTGCGCTGCAGACTCAGACCGATTTTCGCTTCATTCACCTGCTCTCCAGATATTCAGAGCTGCTTAACTTTGGAATAGCTCCTCGAGGCTCACCTTGGTTGACTTAGATGAGATATGCATCAGCAACACCAATCGGCAATTGTGCGCCATGGGCCATTTGACTTGAAAGTAGAAGACAAATGAGCCAAGCAGACTGCAGACGATTGACTGAATCTGACCGACAGAACTCTTTTCAAACATTTTCAATCCATTTTGACATATGACAGGCATACCCTCATGGACACGGTGGGACGACCTAAGGCCAAGCAGCATGAGTTCAGCATGAGAATAACGTTATATAGAGTTCCTCTAATCCAAACGTTTGCTCTATCAGGTTGATGTGATGGCTGAGCGGGTGAGGCTGGAATCAAAACGATTATAGGCTATAGGGATATGAAGGCTTTTCAAAGGAGTGTATTGTTTGTGTAAGTTGCTGATGAACGGCTGCAGGCTCATCAATCCAGAGTGCAAGGTTGACACTGTGCTTGGAACTTGTATAGTACAGTCAAGTCAAGAAAGACTTTATGGAATTCCATGGAATTCCCTTGGTTCTACAATCTGAGGCAAGACTTCTTTGTGCAAGAAACCGAAAGTCAAATTCTCGACCGGCAGTTGGATGCACTGAAACTTAGCTGTTTGCACACACACCAAAAAGCACTGCATCCACCAGCGACATCATTGCATTCCGTTGCGACGAAGGTTGTCGTTGATGCCATCGATGGTGTTGCAAACAAGTGTCGCCTCATTTATGCATGCTACGCTCTTAGACAACCGGTGGCAATCATCCAGGAACCTACAGCATACTCGTAGCCGGCGCACGCAGTTCATGCTTGAATTAAACCCTAGACATGCGTTCATTGTCCATATTGCCCTAAAGTCCATAACTTGCTTGATCATCAATACGTTGCAAACAATTTGTACTTGCTCGAAACTTGCGTAGAGCAGGTAATCTTTCTTCATGTTTCTTCAATACATTTGATTAGCCAAAATGCCCTGCCATTTGGGCTCAAGATTGCAGGCACCGTGGTGCCTTCAAACAAAAACATCCTGCGAGTTTACCTCCATCTTCATCCTTGTCGCCATGGCTGGTCTGGGTAGCTCTGCTGCTCTCTTTGATTGGGACATCCTTGACGATGGTGGGCCTCTGATGCCCTTGCCAAATTTTGGATCCCGGGACCAGCGAATCTACAGCGCAAGCTTGTGGAGCCGAGCCAAGTCGTGGTGAAGGTACAGGCGCCCCTGGCCCTGAAACCTCAATGGGGGCGGTGAAAGTGTGGGCGGGTGACATGGTGATCTGGCGCAAGTTGGCGACCCGCCGTCGCTGGATTCCCACTCACTCCGGGGACCCTTGAGGGCAAAGCTGCACAACTGACGGTGGAAGAGTTGGTTGCTTAAAGCCCGGATCTATCACTCGGACCTGGTGGAACGGGTGATCGAGGTTACACTGGCGAACACGCAGTATACCATGTTGAGCCATGGGGGCGCTGTGCTACCTCATCTGCCACTTCACCCAACCCATGCCCTATATTGCCCTGCTTCGGACTGGCGGGGAGGCTGTGATGCAAGTGCGGGGGACGAGGGATCCTAGATTTGTGGCTGGCTCACCCACGCAAAGAGAAAGCGTTCTGGTTCCACTCGTCCTTTCTAGTTTGCTGGCATCGACGCTACAGACTACAGATGAGGACTCCGCTCATCTTCAACAACCAGACAAGCACCTTCGCCATGCTACCAGCCAGCAATCCCGATGCAGCTGCGGCGGGAGGGAGCCAATTAGCCCCCCTCACATGTCAAAACGCAACTTGAAGACTTGGGCCGATGAACTGACCCATCCTAATCCACTTGGCTTTGACCCCTCTAGGACTCTAGGAGGTGCAAAGTGGCCGATGAAGTCGTGCAATGCGTTAAGGCCCGTTAGCGCCCCACGTCAGGAGCTTGGACATTCAAATCGTCCGGTTGAGGACTTGGAGCTCTGGATGTTCTATTGCAGGTCCTCTGCCTCACAGTGCCCTGAACCCTGTGGACCACTTGAACAGCATGTTTCTGCTGACCTGCTTCATTCTGAGTAGATTTCTCCCGCGACGCCCATGAACCCGTTGCAGGGTGCCCGGTGTCCAGTTGCTTCCTGAGTCTCATCTTTTGGCGGACACTGCTGGTGGTTGAATTGGTGCCACCCAGCCCCAAAACAGTCTTCTGGCCTTCCTTGTATGGGGGAAGTCAGGACCAGAAACTTAACCAATGGGCACTTGAGTTTGGTTCTGGACCTGATTATATGGTGGTTTGTCACTTTGCTGAGGTCGTGAACGGCATATTCCCGTTGTTGTGTCGGGAGGCTTGGGTGGCAAGGCGCCTTTGGCTGCGTACACTAGGTGGCCACGATTAAGCCAACCTCTGCAAGGCAGATCCTACGCAGTTCTGCGAAGACGACATAACTCGAGTACACGGTCCCGACCTTTGGCCCGTTTGACCCTCTCTCCTACTTGTACAGTTTAGTGCTTTTGTGGTGCTAACTGTGCTAACTGACTGTGTTTCTCCTTATTGGGGTTTGCCTTTCCACAGAGCTCAGGTGATGGGCTTACGCGTCGCGTACGCAATACGCTACCCGACTGGATGCCTAAAGAGAACGGTTCTTGACTTATATCATGACACGTGTGGATCATAGAGTGTTTGTTGTGCGCTCCAGGCTTCGGAAACAATATGGCTTTCCTTCTGGTGAATCAAAGGGAAGGCCTTGAAATGAAATTGCCGGGAGTCAGCGTATGGTTGTGGTCTCACTTCCCATCCCGTTGTTGGAGGTGGGGAATCCCTGTTGTCTACAGCCCCGAGACACCAAAGTTTGTCCCGGATGAGCCGTTGGACGAAGGCAGCTGATTTCAGCAGCCAAATTATCAAATATGTTGAAACTGCTGGGTTTCTACTTAAGCCGCAAGCCCAACGTCGGAAGGAGAGGAGTTGCAAAGGAAGACCTGTGCGATATGCTCAGATGCAGGTATTTGGCAATATCGTGCAACATCATATGGTCATAAGTCAGATGATAGATAGAATGATATAATCACGAAAGCCAGCCTATAGGCTAGGCTTGAGGTAGGGGAGCGAACGAAGTGAGTTGAAGGGGGTGTGGGGGGGTGGTTGCGTGGTGGCCAATTTCGGAGAGGTGAGCCCAGAGACTGGTGGGGGAGAGCGAATAAAAGAGGTGGCCACTTGGTAGTGAAAATGCGTAGTTTTTGGGGGTGCTGTGACGCCGGTGATGTAATTGACGGCCCGTAGTGCATCACTAACGTCACGAGGGGCTCAAGAGGCAATGCAAACCTTTTTCTACCATAGGAAAGAGGGGGCAACGGGGCGCGAAAAGTGGTTGGAACTCTTCCAGACAAGGGAGATGCGCGCCTCTTGTCGCCAGTGAAATAGTGTTCGACCAGGGCGAAAGGGAGGTGTGTGTCTCTTAAGACATTGTGTGATCTGTGAGGAACCAGAATGCTGTGGGGAAGGTGGAAGACGGGCATAGCGTAGGAGGATGTGGTAGGAAAAGAGGGTTTGCAAGAAGTGTTAGAGTTGCTTGGGCGTGCC